CTGGAAAACTGAGTATGGACCATATGTACAAAAGCCTTATATACAGAAAACAACTCAGAACCATGCTTCATAAAATAGACCCAAGTATGTCGAGAGTGATCATCAACAAATATGACATAATGTTTGTGGCTACCTTTCAAAACAAAGGGGGAAGGACCCCATACATCAGAGTGCACTAAATCAAAAGGATGACTAGAATGAGTAGTGCTAGAAGAGTATGGAAGCTGTATTTGTTTCCCTAGCTTACAACCCTTACAGTGAAAACCAGCATCTATGGAAACATGACCCAAAACACCTTGTCGAACAAGGGTAGATAAACGAGAACCACACAAGTGACCTAAGCGATGGTGCCACTGGGCAAAAGAAAACGACGAAGTGGATCTTGATGTTGATGCAGCCATCTGGAACGCAGATGTGGTGGAAGCTGAAGGAAGGTGTAAGGTGTCAAGGATGTAGAGGGATGTGGATCCTCTACGGCGATGGCCAGTTCCAATGACCCTCTTGCTCTGACGGTCCTGCACATAACAAAATGAGTCATCAAAACCAACAAAGTAGTTCATATCAGCAAGCTGGCCAACAGACATAAGATTCATGGACAGCTCTAGAGCAAAGGAGATGGCAGGAACAGAAAACTTGGATGTGCAAAGAGAACCCTGATGAGTAATAGAACAAGGTGTACCATCAGCAGTCTGAACAGAGGCACCATCCCGCACTGGCTGGCAAGACACAAGCTGAGAGTGATCAGAGGTCACATGGAAAGAAGCTCCAGAGTCCAGAACCCAAGGCTGGGTTGCAGCAACAGCGGGCTGAGAGAGAACAGATGTAGAAGCACCCCTCGCTTGCTGCTGATAAGGAGCTTGCTGCTGATAAGGAGCCTGGGGTGCACGACGCTGCTGATTGAGGGCCCGTCTAGCCTGAAACTCAGCTAACAGCTCTGGATGAAGCTTGAAACAACCATCTCTGTGGTGTCCTGCCTTCTTGCAGAAGGCGCAGACGGCAGTTGAAGGTGTGGCCTTGGAGGCACCTGGCCGCTGAGGAAAAGCCAGAACACTAGTGTGTAGAGTCTGCGCAGAAGTAGCCCCAAGAGAACGGAGACGAGTCTCCTCAGCGATCAAGCTAGCAAGTGCCTCTGTCAAGGTGGGAGGAGTCGTACGACCAAGCAATTGAGTGCGAATGTTCTCAAAGTCTGGCTTGAGACCCATCACAAACTGAAACATGAGAGTCTGATGGTCATACTTTTCCTTTGCTGCACATGACTCACAACCAGAATTACCCTTTGGAACCATGGAACCTAGCTGCCCAGTGATGCGAGTGAAAGCTCCATAGTACTCTTCTATGGACATGTCTTCTGGCTGCCGAGTGTTGTGTAAATTCTGCAACAAGGAGAAATGAAGTGCACTGCTGGGCTGAAGGTAGCGCTGCTCAAAGTACTTCCATATCTCTTTAGCTGAAGTGTGATGCTCAAGACTCATTCGGAGTGAGGGTTCAACACCCAGAATTAAAACTCCCATCACACGATCATCGATCTTTTGCCAAGACTTCCTTGCTGCATCATCATTTGGACTAGGTGGATCATCTGTCAGATGAGAAACAAAACCAGCTGTCCTCAAGACAGTCCGGGCAGAAAATGCCCATTCCCTGTAGTTTGAACCATCAAGCTTGATATCTATGATCAAAGAACCAAATCCGAAATCATTTCTTGCCATAGTGGTGAGCGGTCAGCAGCTGGAAACACCCAATCTGATAGCAGCTGCAGGCAGCAACAAGAGAAGAACAGCAGACAGCCACAAACAGAAGCTGGATCTGGATCTCACTGGATAGAAGGTGGAGCTTGTTGGATCTTGCTGGATAGAAGGGGAACGCCTGGAGCTTGCTGTAGAGCAGGGAAGGCACCAAGAGCTTGCTGGAGATGGCTGCTGGAGAGCAGGGGAAGTATTCTCACAGAGTAGCTGTGAGGACACACAGAGGAGCTGCTGGAGAGCAGCTCCTACAGGTTGATGACGAAGATGGGATGGGGCAGCGATGTGGATGTCTCCTCACCAGACAGATCCGCCTGAATCACCTCACCGGCGGCGATTTCATGGGTGGCGGCTGGAAGAGGGACTAGGGTTTGGTCCTGGTCTGATACCATGTTAGAAAACGTGAGGAAGAGAGAATGACCGAACAGTTTTCTGTATTGAGGAGGAGAGAGATATATACAAGGTTACATGGGCCTGGGCCTCACTCTAGACTATGGGCCTGGGCCTGTACAAGACAAACACAACATATATACTTAACAGAACGAAGGGAGTATATCAGAACACGTGAGTGAGCGTCTGATCAGGTTGCTAGCTGGAGCAAGCTGATGTGCTTTGCAGGCCTGCCCACCAGCTTTTGAGGCTCAAACTCCATCAGGTGGGTACTCATGTTTTTCCTTATTCGGGAAATGCCACTAGAGGCTAGCCCCAGATTGGTCGAGTTGACAGGATCAACAATTTAAATAAGTTTTTTATTGGCAACAGAAAACTGCAGCCATTATCAACAAGCAGAATTTAAAGAATATATATATAGTTCATTGCTTCACGGTAAAAGATGCTCTATGAAGTACTTAAAACCTCAAACCAACAAAACAAGCTATCCAATGCTATTATATGCTACTCCCTCCGTTCACAAATATAAGATGTTCCAACTTTTTCCTGAATTGGATGTATATAGACACGTTTTAGTGTCTTTGTTCACTCATTTCAGTCTGTATGTAGCCCATATTGAAATATCCAAAACATGTTATATTTGTCAACGGAGGGAATATCAAATTAGACAAGTACCATTGCGTTGCAGGCAGCTGGGTAATCAATTTTTGCATCCATCACAATACGTTTTGCCATATCCATGTCTGCTGATTTGTCAATATATACATGACAAACACCATCTGCACAGGGGATGCAAAGACTTATTCAATACAAACTCAAATCTTAAACAGCAGTCTAAGAATTTAACACTTTAGAAAGCAGTGGTAGCAGCAACAATAATGTTCATTAAGAGAATACCAGCATGGCCAAGAACAGGAATCTTTGTTGATGATTTGATTTGAGCAACAAGCTTATTACTCCCTCTTGGAATGACAAGATCAATGACATCATCATGCTGTATGGTGTTATATGTTTATTAGGCATATTGGTAGAATAATTATTTAGATAATAGAAACGAATGCTCACCTTCAGCAAATCCGCAATTTCATCTCTAGTTGTAATAAGGCCAATCAATTTTTCACCAACATTGTCAGGAATAGCATTGGTTATAACCTGTAAACAATGAATAGATATTTTAAGGACACTAAAGGCTACAATAGTATACCATGCCAAAAGGAAGCTACTACATAGGAAAAGATAATACCTTATGCAATATTGCGTTTGATCTCATTGCTTCTTTTCCACCTTTTAGGAGAAGACCATTACCACTTCGAATGGCTAAAGACGCAATCTAAACAATGGTGTTCAAACCAAGCTGCTTAATATACTTGAGTACAAACCAAATGCAAGCATGTGGATTATAGAAAAAATAACTAAAGTACATCAACAACAAACAATACCTGGACTAAGGCATCAGGTCGGGACTCAAAAATAATCAATAGAACACCCAAAGGGCAAGATGTTTTCTCAAGAACTAAACCATCAGCAACCTGAAAAAATAAACCGATGCGTTCAAACATGGAAGCTTTTCCCAGAGTTCCAACGTGTAGTTCAAATATAAGCACTCACCTCTGTCCTTTTCAGTATCTCGTTAATAGGGTCTTCCATATTCGCAAGAGTGCGAACAGATTTGGCAAGGCTTGCTATCTACAAATGATGAATATAAGCTGGATCAACCAATAAATAATATCCAAAAATGAAAAGAAGCAAGTGTCACCTATCTAACAAATCAATTTAGTTCTAACAAGCAAGACTATCCAACTGCCTACCTTTCCTGGTTTCAGAGTCAATCTAGAAACCAAAGCACTCTCATACCCAGCCTCATGTGCTGCTGCTAAATCTGCTTCATTCTCGGATCTAATTAAATCCTCATTTGCCTCTAAAGCATCCGCAACATCTAATAATATTTTCTTGCGCTCCTCTGATGACAAATTCTGTTTCAGGTATCCATACAATATAGAATCAGTATCACGAACCAGGCAAAAAAGAGCGAAAAGACAGTATGGACCGTTCAATGAGCAGGAAATTTGTACGAGAAAAAAATATACCTGTAGATGCCTTGAACAATCCCGTGCAGCAACAGCCATTTCACGGACACTGGTGTCCTTGGATGGTTCCCACAAACTTGCATTTTTATGAAAAAGGGTACCAATTTTTTCCCCACGGAGAACTTTAACAAGGCTCTGAGATGCACATCCACTTCAAGAACAGTAAACAAGTCAAATTACTCTGCCATTCACCGGGAAAACAAAAATAGCTTGCAAAAAATGGAGTTTACTACTCATTATTTGGGTTTGAAGCATTGGTAGCTCTTTAAGAAAAAAAAAACAGAAATGCAATTATCAAGCTTCTTTACTTAACAATAATTTCAGACCATGTTCAGACAGTAAGCATCACAAGAAAAATTACAATAGCATGCAGGGTGCATGGGTCTCAAAAGCAAATGCATTTTCGGCAGATTTATCATGGTGTTATAATCAGAACTGTTCGTCATTAATATAAAAATAACTAAATATTGGACTTCATATGTTATTTCAGATTTATTGTTAACATGGTTTAAACTTTCAACTGACTCTTTTAAGGTCCTTGATGAGTGTCAAATTATATGACTTAACTGTAATATTAGCAGTGAATTGATTCAATAAGATCTGGTGTCTATGGAATCAGAATTGCAAGTAGCCAAATGGCACATTATTGCTTGCATATGATGCACAAATAAATACCATAGAATGTGTGAAGTATATATATGAGCAATGCTAGGCATCAATATTTCACATGCAATAAAAAAGGCAAATATTCAAGTTACCTTGTAATAACAACAGGTACACCACCCGTTGAAGCCCACACAGCAGCTTGGACTTTAGCTGTCATGCCACCTCTACCAACACGGGACTTGTCTCCAAAAGTAATTTCATGATAATGTTTTTCCTTGATATAAGTATGTATTAACTTTGATGAAGGTTCACTTGGTGGACCGCTGTAGAGGCCATCCACATCACTAAGCAGAACAAGGAGATCAGCTTTCAGTTCCAATGCCAGTAGACCTGCCAAACTGTCATTATCCCAGAATATACCAGATGAATCCTGTAACAGAATTGTTGTTGATGAACATCACAATGAAAATGATGGAAGGTATTGAAACTGGAAAGACATGGATTTTTATGTATGCAAACAATCAAGCTCAAACTGTACAGGTAAGCACAATATCGCTATTACAGGGTAATGTATTGTACAATACGCACCTCGTATGGAGCCTTCCTCGTACTGATGGCATCATTTTCATTAAATATTGGAATAACTCTAAGCTCTAATAATGACTCGACAGTTTCGCGGAGTCGCTCCCGGAAATTTGAATTGTCGAAGTCACTATCTGTCACGAGAAGTTGTGATGATGACACATCAAGCTGCAACATGAGAGGTTTGATGTTACAAACAGACACACAAGGTACCAATTTCTTCCAAGTAAAGTTGATGCCAGGCTAAATAAACACACTTGGGTAAACAACATGTCATAGAGTGCCATCAGCCCACTCTGACCAACAGCAGCGCAGGCCTTCCCGTCCAGCTCCATCTGTGGCTTCTGCAGATCAGCAAAGCTGCTATTGACGAGCTTGCGGTACCTGAGCCGCTGTCGCCCCACACCAACAGCGCCCGAGGTGACCATAATCACCTCATATCCTTGAGCATTAAGATCCTTGACCTACATTGCCATTTAGCTGATTCAGGATTCGCTTCAGACTGCATATATACAGAGTAGAGAAGGTAGGAGATGAGAATGTTACCTGCTCGCACAGGGCTCCAATCCTGCCCAAAGCCAGTCTTCCATCATTTCTGGTGATAACTGCAGTGCCCACCTGACATCCAAAAAAAGGAATTAATAGAAAATAAAAGTGACAGGGACAAGGATTCCATCTACGTCTCCTGTGTTGCATCTTTGACTAGATTCCTTAAGCGTATCTAAGATGCTCTCCCAGAATGGACCACTTTGAGGCGAGCTAGCAAAACTGACAAAGGTACTGTTCTGTTTTCCAAACATAACAAGGAAACACAGTTCTACCCTTTACACCATAGATTTCCATGAAAACACGTATCTGAACAACGAAATCACGAACTAAAGAGGTCCTCCCATTTAACGAAATTTGAGAAACATCCCAAAATTCCTCTCCGCCTTTCTATCATCCATTTCCATCTGACACAAATCACCTTTTCCCATCTGACGCGAATCACCTTTCCCCTGAAGCTGTTCCGATGCCTGGTTACGGAAGGCCCCAAACATCCTGGGCGCCTCAAAAGTTTATTCATGACGAGAACTCCGCCATCAACGCGTCAGAGTTAAAACCCAAACCCCAGGCATAACCCCTCCGCCCCCCGCCCTCCCCGAGAACAAATCACGAGAACTCTACACGATTACTCCTCGATTCGGTGCAGAGAGGCCTCGGAGAGACGCAGCAATGCGGCGAAGAGCAGCAGCTTAGATCTAGCAGAGACGGGCTGATAAATTAGTCAAACAAACAAACAGACAAATCAACCTTGATGATGATGCGCTTCACGTCCTTCATGAAGCTCCGGTTGGGGTCGGCGCCGGCCATGGCCGCGGGCGGA